CTTCGTGCTCACCTACCCTTGTCGAAAAGATTTACTGACTTAAATAGTTACAGGCTAAGAGAAGTGATATGTTTAGCACATGAATCTTGTCTTAAGAGAACATGCAATGAGCACTTTCAGGCTTCAGAAGAAACATCTGACAACTGATAATCTAACCTATAAATATCAATTTTCTGAAAATCAGGAGACAAAGTTCCCCAAAAAAATTTCCCCGCAAACTCTTATTAACAGCTTGGAAGAATAATAGGTTTATTTTTGCTCCTGAGTCATGAGAGACGACTAATGTGACAGCCTGGCTACCTGACTGCTGAAAGTTTTTTCCCCAAGTCAGAAAGGAAAAGCAGAGGAAACACGCCATCTAGCGCAACGCCCGCCTTCCCTGCCAGCCTGCCCTGCCCTCTCCCAGTCCCTCACCTCCACTCCAGTACCTACAGACTCATCTCAACTACAGCTTGTTTCATCTCAGCACACTAATGAGGATATAAAACATACTATTTTATTTTATTTTAATATTTCTTAGATTTTTTAGATACAATACAGAAGCACTTTGCTTAAAATTCCTTGTCCCACCAGTAACGAGTTCAGCTGCCACTGACTCCAGTTCCTGCTGCAACTGGATGGACATCAGGAACATACTGTATGTTTTTAATTAATGCAATTTACACTCTACTGTCCACATCAAAGAGATCCCAGTTTTTGCAGGCTGATATATTAACAGCTAAAATGTGACAGTTCAATATTCAGATTATTGTAAAAAGGTTTCATTATGTGTTCGTCTTGCTGCTTTTTCGTGTGCGGAAAGCCCACAATGAAGCGTGCCCTAAGTATCAGTGGTGGAGCCTGCCACATTCCCACATCACTATTGAGTGCTGATTAACCATTAAATTGAATGAACACTCACCACCTCATCTATGAAGCATCTTTTTCCCACCTGTGAGGTCTGCTTTTCCAGAATTCTTTAAGCCATCATTTTCCACCAGTTATCACTTGTCTTGCCATTGCTTTCACTCAGTAACTTTGCCATTACGTAAATTCTCTCCTTAAGGGGTGGGTTAGATTTCGTCATATTTTAAAATCTAAAAATGAAAGTTCACTACAGAAAACCTTTATGGTTCTTTATTACATTTGGTTATTTAGGCCAAAAAACCACCATTCTTCTAACTACTGCTTTATAATACCTAAACCTACACTAAATTCTTCCTATTTAAAAGCACAGGCATTACACATTTGGCCGACAGAATACCAGTCTGATCAGCGTAAGAGAACTTACTACTACTAAGATGTGCTTTTCTGTCATTTTAATACAAATCATTAGAATTCTTTTATGTGTTGTATGTACTACCTCCAAGTCCCAGATTTTCTGAGATGATGTTCTTTGCTGTCACTACTTAAAGGCTACCATCAAGAAACTTCTGTATGAGGTTTATTTATGAACTGATAATGAAGAGCGTTTTAAAGTGGTCGGAAAAAAATATTTTTCCGAGTTTATACTGTTCTGCAGGTGCCATCCTTTCTTCCTACCACTAGATGCCACTCTCCTTCCTGCCTCTAAAATATTTCTTCCCTAGAGGATCACACCAGGCCACCAGCTAGCACAGTAGAATTTTCCAAACTATTTCAAGAGTGATGAGTAACAAAGACTGTTGCAATTTTTGTTGAAAATTTCTACCCAGGCAGAGGTTTGTTTTCATCAGTTTAAGTGAAATATCTCACAGCTGTTTTGTAACCCTAAAGCAGAAGCATCTAAAAATTAGAGTTGCTTGTGATCAGGTATTACTAGGCAGATACCTGAAAGTTTACTTGACTACGGTGCTGTAGCCTGTATCAATGTATTTCGATTAATGACAAAACAATGCACATAGAAAGGTGTTCAACTTTTTAAAGTCTTTGCTACAAAACGACTTGAGGAAAAACGTCGGACCCACTGACTATATGCCTGAGCTCCTCTCCCAAATAAATGTCTGTCTTTGGTTTTGGCACAGAAAGAGAAAAAAAAATTGCAGAATGAAAACTTAGAGCAATTTTGTTCAGAGAAACAGTGATTGCCTTTCAAGATAAAGAAGGGTTGTTTAGGGAAACCAAGCTGACAGCCATCTGTCTGAAGACACTATGCTTCAGTTGAATAAACAATTTAGACACTAAGACACTATCTTTTCTTGATAGCAGACCAATGTAAAATCCTTTCTACGAATATTTCCCTTACGGGAAAATGGGATCATACTTTGGGTTTTTTTGCTATCTTGTTTCATCTTTGTATACCATGGAAGAATAGTAGATATTTGAATTGTGTCAGTAGCACTGTGCAAACACAGCTTGCCAGGGTACAGTTGCCCAAGTTCTTATTTAGATGGAAACTGATTGCAGAATTCCAGCCCGTGACAGGAATGTCTGAGCAAGTCTTGGAAATCACAGAGGAAACTAAGGCACAGAGAGCCAGACAAGTATACAGTAAACGCAAATTTCATTGTAAGCCCCCACCATTTCTTGTATGGTGGCAAAAGTCAACAGATAATTATTCTAACTTGCCTGAAGTTTGTCAGATTCATTGATCAGTTTCATGACTTGAGCAAATCTACACAGAGGAGATATGTAATGCATCCATATTGCCAAGTCAACTCTGACATTTGTAACATTCAGGGCCTCCATTCACCCACTTCTCCAATAAAAACATCTTTCTTCAGGTGGGAGAAATCATTAATTATACAAATTCTCAAGCTACCTGGTAACTCCCAATATTTGGGCACTCAAAAGACAGAGCATTTTTAAAAAAAGACAAACACCCCAGAACACTAAATCAATCATCTAATCTCCAAAATGCACAAGGAGCACATTATTACTATGTCTGTAACTACATGTTGTTCTACTTTGAAAACCAACTTGAAAACAGCATTACGAGATTTCATTTATTCTCGATTCACAGGTTTTCCTTCCCACACCAACTACTACCGGGGCTGAAAAAGCAAAGCCAACTTGATTTTTTTTCCCCTAGCGTATAAGGGTTCTCCAGAGCCCCATCTGACTTGAATTCAGACATACAAAAGACAAGTGAAAATATTTGCAATATTACAGCGTTCTACTTCAGCTGTTGTTATATTATCATTTCTCTCACAAGATAAACTCGTAACACTTACTCTCCAAATCAGAAATGATGAGATTGTCATGAAGCTTCACAGCACGATGCTGCTCGACTTCATCCTCCAGCTCAAAGATAGTTTCTTTCATGTCACTTCTCTCAGTCTCTTTTTCATCTAGTTCTGTCCGAAGTTTTTCTAGAGTCACATTGAGATCCTCAATTTGTTTCTTGGCTTCTTCTTGGAACACTCTGTATTCATCTTCGACCTGAAAAACAACATATCGTAACTAAATTGGTTGCATTTTAAAACAGAGTTTTAGTTTCGTAACTACCACACTTAGAATGTATTTCTGCAACCATAAAAAGGTATGGGACAAGAAGTCAGGTGTAAGCCTTTAAAAGTGTATTGTTCTAATGCAGCTATTTCCCTGAGCCAGAGTTAAACTCTTTTATTCCCAAGACGAACACATGAGCATTCCCCAGCTACTTGAACAGCAGTATCCTGTATTCAGGCAAAGCAACATCACCACAGTACCAAGGCTGTGGCCTCATGAGCCGCTGATTCCATTTAACATCTAGCTGCCATGGAAAAGGGGAGGGGGGGAACTCTTTAGCCTTTCTTTTTCTTGCCAAAAAAAAGCCTGCTCTCTTCTGTGCATCAATTTCAGTGCTTTCTGGACCTGTCAGCTGATTCACTTCCTTAACCAAGTAGCAGAACTCAGGTTTGTGTGTGAGATGTGTTAGTGAGTTGAAGTAGTTCCCAGAGGAGTCTCAAGTTACTGAACTGAATTTTTAAAAAAATACAGGGAAAGGAAGAGGTAGTAGACTTCTCTCTTCCAGAAGCAGCGAGGCTATTTTATCCTTCCTCATGAAACTGCAACGTAAGTAACAAGCTGGGATCAGAGGCACTAAAGCAAAGTGCTCTGCTTTAAATCATCTATTTCAGTATTTTTTTTTCTTTTTTTTAATTTTAATAACACTACCCAACTTTAATTGTTAAAATTATATAGTTTGGGTTTTTTCCCCCCTCAAATTAAGACTGATTCTAACTGGCTGGTGATCATGACTAACATGTTGACTTGCAACTAATACATAGTTTGGACATGAAATTTGGCATAAATTTTCTCATCAGGAATATATTTAAATGCATATTAAGGTTATTAAATAAATTTTATGATTCTTATTTTATATTAAATTAGGCTAAATGCTTTTACTAGATATATTTACCAGATAAATTAGCTACATTTGAGTCAGAATAGCTGTTCTAGAACTAGAAACATACATTTTGATGCAAAATCCAGTCAACACACAAGCTGCTCCTGGATGGATCATTAGTTAAAAACCTGTGTGTATTTGTCATATTTAATAATAATTGTTTAAAAGCTTATAATTTTTTTTAATTTAAAACTAATATATATATTCGGTAAATTAGATTAAATTCAGTAAAATCTGTCTACCTCATAATCAGTTGAAAGATGATACTTTTCTGCTTTCTTTATCATTAGTTTATTCTAAGTTAACTGAACCAACTTGAATAAGCTGAAGCTTCAAAATATTCTCTCAACACCTGCGAAAGGCCCTACAAGTCATCAACAGTTGGGTTATCATTTCAAACTTTGACTCCCAGTACCTTCTCAGTGACATCCCTCCTCCACCAGGTTGGCACTAACTCCTTGAAACTCTTGCAGAAGGCATGCAATTTCAGCACAAAATGCATACAGAATCTTACATACAGCTCTAAGTTCGGCCCTTGAAATAAGTTGCAGAGCTTACATACCAGTATTTTAAAAAGTAACAGGACAGTTACCCTGTGGCTGAATGTATCCATATAATTTTTAAGGCGGCCTCCGCCATTTTCACAACAAAAGTTAGGAGAAAGTACTCAATCCTAACACCAATGCAACCTGACTAACCTCATAATTAATCCTTTACTTCTAAAAAAGCTACAGTGACCAACCGTGTATACAGGATGTTAAAATACAAGAGTTTGTCTTAAACACTACCTTAGCAATGGCATCTTGCAGTCGATTGGCATCATTGCGAGTGTGTGCCAGCTCTTCTTGCAGACTACTGGCCAACGTCTCTGCTTTTTCTTTATCCAGCCTGACACTCTCCAGCAAATCTTGTATATCTGATTTATCTCCAGAGTTGTGAATAGAATACAACTCAGTCACTTTCTGCTTTTCATGCTCTAACTGAGCTTTCAGCCTGTTCATCTCAATCTGGTCACTGGCTACTGTGGCTTTGTACTCCTCTAAGGTAGATGCTATCGCTGTTTTGCTTTTCTGCTCTGACTCAATAATCCGTTCCATGTGGTGATTTCGTTCTTTTAATGCCCCTATCATTTCTTGGGCCTCCTTGTTGTCTTGTTCTGCCATCTTCAAAGTGTTGCTCAAGTGCTGCTGAACACCTAGCAGCTGCTCTCGCTCAAATCGAGCGTTCTCTGCAAGGTCCATATAACGCTGCTCTAACTCCATGTAGCGACCACTTTTCATATCTTCATCAATTACATATGAAATATGATGTTCATCTAAAAGTGACCGAAAATACTCAATTTGACGGCTGAAGTGTTCTAATTTGTCACTCTGCTGGCACAAAGATTCCATAAGGATTACTTTTTCCTCTCCAAGTCTTTCATTCTCACTGTTTAGCTCTTGTGTTATTTGTTGCAAATCTGCAAGCTCTTGAAGCGTGGCTTGGAGCTCTTCAGCTGTACTGTGTTGATTCTCCTCCATCTGATGTATCCGTTCTGTCAGACAAGCTACGGACACTTCGCTTGCGTTGCCACTGCTTCCCTTCCTAGATCTTTCTATACTTGGTACGCCTTCAGACTCCGAAGATGATGGAGCATCTAAGGCATCATCGCTTGATGTCAGTGGCTGATAAACTTCACTGCACTCACTGTCTAAATTATCCATGGAATTACTATGTTGGTTGTCCATCAAAGTGTTTTCATCCTGACTTAACAAGTCTTCCATTGATCCAGGAGCAGAACCTTCCACTGAAGATGTCAGAGTACCACCACCATCACTGTGGTTGCCAGCTGTAATCTCTGGACTCAAAGACTGATAGCCAAATAGTTTTTCAGAGTTGTCCAGCCTTTGCTCCAAAGAAAAGCCTAATGCATTTAGTCTGTCTTTCAACATTCGATTCTCATTCTTCAGCTGGTTGAGCTCTTCTCGGATGGCAGTGTTTTGTTCCTGTAACTGTAGCAATGTTGACTCTACATCAGTTGGCTGATGGACAACAATGGCCTCTTTTTCTTCAGATTTTTCATCGCCTTCAAGTTGATCTTCGTTAAGTCCCAGCTGAGCACGCATATCCCTCAGCTCATTCCTCAGATGCAAGATTTCCACATCTTTAGTTTTTGCTAACGTCAAAAGATCATTCACCTTTGCTTCCAGTGCAGCCTTGTCACTGATTTGATTATCTGATTTGGACTTGCTCATTCGAACATCTGATTCTGGATTGGTGCGACTACGGGAGCGCTTTGCCAGTACTGTATCGTTAGTCCCCTGCCCGGTCAAAGGCAGCTTTTTGCTCTGGCTCACGCGGGAACGATCACGTATTCTTTCTCTAGAAGAGCTTGACTCTTTATTTCCAGATGAAGTGCTACGCTTAGTTGTGGAACTTGTACCTGTATGGTTTTTGAAAGTTAGGAACAGTAATTTAAAATACAGTATCTGTAATAGAAGACTGTATTTTGTATCAGCAATACAGTGGCAGATTTTCTGAATCACACTGGGAAATACATTTGCTAAAATACACTTAGAGTAACCATTTATAGAACCTTAATCATGAATCAGTGCAATTATGTTTTAATTGATACATGCATTACCCATTGCTACGATTTACCAGTATTTTGAAAATGAGTTCAACCTTAAAAGTTTAACATTTGCAAGTTTCTTTTTTTCTGTCTTTAATAGCTTCTGATAAATTGTGCAAAAACTGCAGCAGTGCTATTCCTACGAGTTCAAATTTGTCTCTCTCTTCAGTGGATTTGAATGCAAGTTTTTAAGTGATGAATTGCATATGATGATTCCCCAAAATGAAAGTTAAGGTATTTTGTATTTTCATCTCATTTCAAAAAGACGAGGACAGATTATGAATACTTTATTTCCAGACGCTTTACAGCTTTGTAAGCATTACTGAATCGAAAACATAGCAATGGAAGGCAAGACATTTTCATCCATATTGGTAACACACTAAATAATTTCACTTTCTAAACAGTGTCTGAAAGCTCTCTTTCTTTGTTTCTATAAAGCGATACAGAATGTCCAAAACGTTGACTGCAACAAGCGGTAACATCTTAAAGATCTAGCGCTTGTGGCATGGCTTTTTTTAGACAAATTAAATTATTTCAGACAAATCTACGATTCTCTAGATTAATTACATTATCTACTTTTACATAGTAGTTGCGTAATCAGTACTGAAAAAATGAAAAGGAACACCCTCCAAAAAGGCAATTACAGTATTAAAAAACAGGAAAAGAGAATGGGAGTCGTTTGACTTGACAGTGGCCTTGCTGACCACGTCATTAGGCAGCCTGGATCTGCAATACATAATAGGAAAATAAAAAGCCACCCAACTACTATCTTTAAGGATCAATATATTTGTTCACCTGCAACAGTTTTGGGTTTATTTTCCAGACTGTTCATGGTTGCCCCTGAAGATGAAGATGCTGTTGATACACAAGTGCTTTTCTTTGCCTTGACACCATTGGTCATTGTCACTCCACCACCACCAGCCATTCCCACTAAGAGGTCATCGTTACTCTTAGTCTGAAAGAAAGGGAAGAAGCAGCTTTAAGACAGCTGGCTGAGAAGTCTGCATAGCCAACATTTCTTCTCTTAAAGATTCCACACTTAAAAAGTACATATTTGACTAGTCATGTGTCTGTGCAAGAATGTTGAAAAGTCTAATTGCACTGCACTGTGAAGTTAGTACATTGAAACTGAACTTCAGTTCCTTACATATGATTGACCATAGAAACTGAGTCTTTCCGCTCCCAGAAAAAACACCAAAAATAAAAAAAGATAATTAAGAAAAGCATAGCAACACAACACAGTGTAACTCTTCTCCATTTTGTTTGAAAGTTTGCATAAGCATATAACTGAAGACAATTAAACCAGCAAATACCAGGAAGTTAGTATAATGTCATTCAATACAACTCGATCAAGAGTTTTCTGATGAACAAGTTCACAATGAAAAGATCAAAGCAAACAAAATATAAATCAATCCAACATTAATAAAATACCCTTTCTAGTGCAAAATACTAAGCCACTAATTACTAGAGACTAGGACAGTATTTAGACAGGGGGAAAAAGACACCCTCAACATATACTGTTGCCTTGTTTACCTGCTCTTCACTAGGCATTCTCAGAGATGGGGTATTTGTTTGACAGACTTCTTGTCTGACCTCAGATGATCATTCAAGAAACTACTGTTAGCCACAAAAGTGGCCTGGAATGTGACAAGGCAGTAGGCATGAGTCTCCAGAACTGGATTCCCAGAGAATATATCTTTCAGAATAAAGTAAACTCTAGAAATAATAATTTCTTAAGCATTAATTGGCGGACTTTACAACTCTTTAAAATGCAATTTTTCAAATGGAGAAACATCAAAATATGCTAAACATGCTTCCCATTATAAGGGCAAGAAAAATTAAATGAAAACAGCTGTGTTAGCAGCATTCCTTGAGTAACTGTGTTATTCAGCTGGATAACACATTTGAAGTCTTGACCAGCATCCCAGCTAAAGGGTAGTGCTTCGGACTTAACCAGTTGCTTTACATCATGACTTTCAAATTCTTCAGGTTTATAACTTCTAGCTTCCATACACATTCATGCTAAAAAATATATTCCAGGCATTACGATTCCATACATTAAGAATGAAGGTACACTTACTTAATTAAAGAAAATTAATTAAAATGAAAAACTTTTTTAAAAAGTGGCATCTCATTACAGTGTCTTTTTGCAAGTGTGCATTTCAGAACAGTTAGGAACACTGAACTGCAAGGCTGTGGAAAGGGCAGGATGGGATTTGTGCTTATTTACAAAGAAGAGCAGCTGCAAAGCAAAAGGGAGCTTGGGAAGAGAACGCATTTGTTCTGCAGGCGGTTGTTCAAAATATAGATAATTTACAGACAGAAACAGGTATTTGTAAGGGTAAAATCCTCTAGGACAAGAATGTTTTTATTGAATCATGTAGGAAATGGAATAGCCTCTAAAAGGTTTATAAAGGCTGGAAGAACACACATTACTCTGAAGCTCTAGTTTGCAGCTAAGCTGGCTTTTCTGCTAGGAAAAAGCCACTGCTGTTGTATCCTGCTCTTCTCCGTGTGTGCACACACTGTGCTGTGCAAACTGAAGCCTTCTCAAAAGGCTCCTTCCTCCCAGGAGCAAGATCCCTTCCTTGATCTGCTGTGTCACACAGATGCAACGTAAGTACCAGTGGGAAAATAAAAACGTTGGAGGGCTACAAAATTGACAAAGCCCACACTACTTGTGCGGGGGGGAAGCTGAGCACAAACTACTACTGTATGACAATCCCCCAGTAACCCGTGATCTAATTAGATTTCACATCTAATCTAAACTAATTTTGTGGGCAGAGGGGGAGGGAAACAACCTTGTGATGCATCCATCACCTACAACAAGGTATTACAAAAAGGCACAGAACAGTGATTTTCTATTTTGCTACTAGATTTGCCAGTCAGTCAGCAAACATGATAGTTCAAACGGACTATCAGCTGTCAGCATTTTTATCCTGTTGAAAGGGGGGAGGAAATTAGATTAAGCTTTTAGACACATAGTACAAGTACATGTTATCAAGCCAAATAGGTCAAGACGTGACTCAGCTTGAAGAAAAAAAAAAGGTAAGTAAAATACACACTTTCTGACATTAGTCATCTCTAGTCCTTGCTGACAGCCATTCTTCTGACTTATCCATAAACTATTTCTACTCTAGGTTGGAAGGCACGGCCTCCTCTGCAGCCAATTAGTAAACAGTTTCTCAAAACGGTAACACTATACTCTTGGCAAAGAAAACTATTTAGCAAAGCTTTGGAAAAATTACAAACCAGCAGCTCTCTTTTCTTAACGCTCCATAATGGCAACCATTCTTGATTTTAAAAATCAAAATATTTTTGTAGCGTATATTTTTAATGGAAGCAAAATCAATGTCGTATGTTTATTAAACAGCTTTTTCTTCAAGGAAGAACAGTTTCTCCCATTTACTGAAAACAGTGCAATCCTGCTTAGCATTAAAACCCCTACATGAAAATACAAAAAATTAGAAAATATCATAATTAGAAATGTTCATCCAGACCTATTTTGATTTTCTGTATTAAAAAACCACTTTACAATTTACAATTCATATCTGTCTTCCCCCACATCTTTCTTTCAATGCAATGAAACTTGAATGATCACCTCTACAATTCATTTCATCTTAATTTCTCAACATGTATATCCTATTTACTGCACCTCATTCAAATCCCTTTACGTATATGCTTCATTATTGCTGCCTGGGATTTTCTTTGATGCTTGCTGTTGCTGCATTTGAGTGCTTCAAACATCAAACTTCGCAACAATCTGTAATTAAGTTATTGCATTTTGCAAACAGAATACTGAAGCCTAGACACATGAATACTGAAAATACATTCTAATTTTTAATATTCAAATGTTGGTGTCCAAGTCCTGGCTTTTCAGGGACACTGGATTTTGCAGTTCGTTTGTATGAAGTACAGCTGCTGTCTAATTACAGTTGTTAGTGTTAGCATGATCGCAAGCTCATTAGCTAAAGAAGTCAAAAAACAATTATCTTAAAAATAAGAATACACTGTTATTTGAAGTGTCTTTTTTGATAAATTAAAAACTAGATGTGGCTGGCAGTTAACCTTCTGCTATAATAA